TAAGTCTGCATAACTAAGGGTGTGGCCACTTAAGTGACACTTGAATCTCGCTGCTCGCTGTCTCGTCACCTTAGCTGACATATACATCGTGTTTTTGTTTTGGTTAATGTTTCTTTACACAGTCAATTGCCTTTTGGGATTATTTCCTACAATTATCAGATGATATGGCATGCTGTGTGCACTTAATTGTGCTCACAAACGGTTCAAGTTGCCTTTATTTCCCAGGTGAGTGAAGTTATATACTTATATACCATCTCTATAAATGTATTTGTTTCATTTATCATTTATATTTTTCTTTAGACCTGTAATGCACTCCAGAATCTGACTGAATGATTAGCTGTAAGCTATAGATCAGTCATCTGAAGCACTGTCATACAGTGTTATGCCTGGATTTCATCAATAGCCTTGCATTTACTAACACAGACTATATTTGAAGTGTTTGGAAGTAATTTGCGTTTCCTCCTGTTGAAAAACATCATAAGTTCAATGCTTAGTGGCTCAATCTGTTTTAGCAGCGTTTTAAAATAGTGTACAACCAAGCACATGTGGTCAGACCAAAAACGAGTCGTAGGTAATAAAATATTAAGCGTTCACCCAAAGTAAAGTCTGTCTGGTAGCAGGTGTCTGTAGCTCCGCTCACTCTCTGCCTCTTTGCCCTAGTTTGGTATCCCGCAGTGGGTGCAATGAAGCGCGAACAAAATTTCAACGGTTGGCCGCGCCTACTTTAGCTTTTTTTGCAGTGTTCAGAAACCTATGGGTGACGTCACGGATACTACGTCTATATCTTTTACAGTCTATAGACAGTACTAGTGCTGCTACTGGCAGAATATTGCATGGCTATCAACCAATCAGATTCAAGAATCAGACAGAACTCCTTCATTCATTTTCTTATCAGCCTAATCCCTTTATTAATCTGGGGTTGGCACAGCGGAATGAGCCGCCAACTTATACAGCATATGTTTTACGCAGCGGATGCCCTTCCAGCTGCAACCCATCTCTGGGAAACACCCATACACACTTATACACTACGGACAATTTAGCCTACCCAATTCACCTGTACCTGTACCCAGCAAAGGCTCGAACCAGCAACCTTCTTGCTGTGAGGCGATAGCACTACCTACTGCGCCACTGCGTCGCCCCAGACAGAACTGTTATATATATAAAAAATATGACAAAATAAGAAAATTGCCTTTAAGAAAACTTGTACAAAAAAAATATTTCTATGTAGCCTAAGCAATTTATTGGGAATGTTTTTTTTTTGTACCACATTCTTCTGTATGAAGCGTTGCCTCAAACATAGGCTATAGTAAGCCTAATTCAGACATTTATTAATGTTCCAGTCTGCTGTCAGAATTCAGAGCTGACAGATTATAGCTGACCTTCGTTACAGCTGTTATTAAGAGCACAACTGACCTGTAAACCACAGTCTCTCTCTTCAATTATAGTCTCCTTCAGACAGGAAAAGAACAATGGCCTGCAAAATCGCCACAGCAGGACAAAACAATCAGATTACAACAGATTTTAGAATACGATTAAGACAGTTCAGCAAAAACTCTATAATGCAGCCTACGACAAATGATGGTGTCATTAAGGGATTAAATGACATAAAAATCGACTTTAATACTCATTGTTTTGAAGGATTATGAGATGAGGGAGAATGAGAACAGTGTGGATTTACTTTTAAATTGTAATATGTTGGTATGCTTAGCATGTGGAAAATGACGACGCATTAGCTAATTTAGATGTGTCTGCATAAAATGTCAAATATATAAAGAGATTACTTAAATGACTTTTAATATAGTTCCTAAAATGAAAATTATGTCTGTTACTCATCCTCCACTTGTTCCAAACCTGTTTCGTTCTTTCTTCTGATGAACACAAAGGAAGATATACTGAAGATTGAAAATTAAATACTGAAGTTAATGGCTTCTGGTTTCCAACAGAATCCAACAGAATCTGGTTTTCAACAGACATCTGTTAAGAATATCTTTCCTTCTGTTTTGTGTTCAACAGAAGAAAGAAACTAATACAATCCCTGCACACACAGGACATCAACATGGCGCCATATCGATGTTGACCTCAATGTCGTGGGGACATTAGATTTTGTTTGGAAATTAAATTCAGGTTGACGTCAGTTGAGGCCTTCGTCAATATCCAATGTCCAACCTAAAATCAACCAAATATCAATATCTAATCATGCTACACCCTGACGTTACCACTATGACATCTGTCAGACATTGGATTTTGATCACTTTCTAACACAATCTAAACTCAACCAAACATCAACGTAATTTGAGGTCGTTATTGGACGTCAAAATAGTGTTGTCCTTAGACTCTGGCTAGACATTGAATTTTGGTCACCTGATATCATGACCTAAATCTAATCCTATATTAACGTCTTATGATGCTATGTGCCTGCTGGGAAGTTTAGAATTATTTTATTTACTTCAGTGTAAGTAAATGGTGAGAAAATATTCATTTTTGGGTGAACTATACATTTAACAATGCTTATATTTAAAATTTCATTTATGTACTGTAAAAAAGAAATCTGATAATATTTTTTTCATTGAAAGCTTTTGAAATGGATCATGGGAATTTGATCTCCTCAGACAACTTCAAGGTCCTATAATGCACATTAAAAGGCATAAATATACAAAAACAACTTTTTGTACAACTTAAACACATTTAAAATAGTAAACCACTCTACCTAAAAGTAGAGTAGACGGTTTATTTTATAATATATTTTATATATTATTATTATTTTATATATTATTATTATTATTATTTATATAGTCCCTTTATTAATCCAGGGTCGCCACAGCGGAATGAACCACCAACCTAGCCAGCATTTTTTTACGCAGTGGATGCCCTTTCAGCCGCAACCCATCTCGGGGAAACATTCATACACTCATACACTACGGACAATTTAGCCTACCCAATTCACCTGTACCACATGTCTTTGGACTGTGGGGGAAACCGGAGCACCCGGAGGAAACCCAAGCAGGGAGAACATGCAAACTCCATCCACACAGAAACGCCAACTGAGCCGAGACTCGAACCAGCGACCCAGCGACCTTCTTGCTGTAAGGCGACAGCACTACCTACTGCGCCACTGCGTCGCCTTACACTATATTTATTATTTTGTCATGTTTTATCAAAGATGTGTCATAACAGCAAAACAAATGGAATGATTTCACTAATTTAGTAGCTTTGACCGAAAGAAATCTATAAGTAATGATAAGAAAATTAATTAAACCCATTAATTATACTCTAATACAGGGGTTCCCAAACTTTTCAGGCCGCGACCCCAAAAATAATCATATCAGTGGCTCGCGACCCCCATTTTTCAAGGTGGTTGTACTGTAAATATGTAAACGTTGCAGACACAACTATAGGCAAATATAAACATGAGCTTATTGACAACACAAAAATGCAATAGTCTATTAGTCATATAATGTTTTTTAAAGTAATTTATGGATTTAATTACATTTTGCTTTTAAAATTAAAGGCTGATGACTGATTGTTATTTTTATGTTGCTGTTACTTTAATGCAACTATTAACTATATTCTGTCGGTTATGAATAAAACATGGTAATTCTAATAGTTTAATAAAATTTATTTGAGTTTTGGATATCACCAAGCGACCCCTTGTCATTGTCCCGCGACCCCCCAGGGGGTCCCGACCCCCACTTTGAGAACCACTGCTCTAATACACTATTAGTTGACTATACAAAGGCATTATCAATTGAGCGCAGATATTACAAGTCACAATGGGAACATCTAATAGAAAAGAGATCTACATTTTTTTTTCTCCAGCTGAACTCTGCTATGCAAACTTATAGCAAACATATAACCAGATTTCTAAAAAAACAAAAACAACAACAACACCATGGCATCTGCGAAAAAGAGAGTTAGTGTGGGAAAACAGCTGGTCAAGTTAATGCGCAAGTTTACATTTAAAATATTTAAAGTATTTTAATATTTAAGTATAATAAAACATTAAGTAATGTTATTTCTGACGTTTATTGAATTTTCATTTAAAAAAGTAGAGAATTGGCCGTAATTTTGAAGGTATTTCAGATATAATTGCATTAAATTACATAAAATAGGCTACTGCATAGTTTCTACCACACATTTGACAAAATAAGAACGCATATAACATTAGCTTTTTAGTTTAAGGTTCTCACTTTTACACACTGATCAGTTTAAGATACAATTTCTAAAACTGAGTTTTTAACAAATTTAAAAGTGCACTTGTGTGTCTGCCTTTTTTACTGATCAAGTGGTAGAGGTTGATATGACATTTAGAATGTAAGCAGTGCTAAAAAATGTTTTGAAAACAATTAAATCCCACAATTAATGGGATTTTTATTAATCCCATTAATCTAGTTACAGTGCTTGTCTCTGTCCAAGGTCAGTGTATTTAAGCAAATTTTTTATTGTTTACAGTAATATCAAAGGTTAAACTTAAAACTATGGTATTGAATCTAATTGTAATTTTCCCAAAAAAGGACAAGTCATTCTCGTAACTTTGTTCTTTGTGTGACTGAAATGTAGGCAAGGAATGACTAAGGCTAAGGTGAGAAAAACCGCTTCATCTTTAAAAAAGGGCAGGAGACCAACAGAAGTTACCTCTCTTTCAAAAACAGGCTCGCACCTGCTTTCTTGAGTTTGACAAACCTGCCATTTTAAAACGAAAAACCCAGAGTTTCACTCATTTCAGAGTTAGCATACTCTATTTTTACTTAACCTCCTTTCTGAAACAGGACCAAGTTGCAATGGACTTACTCACTTTTTAAGAAACTAATCACTTTTTACCTTGTACAATAAGAATGAAATGTAATAACGATAACATCAGCACTATACTAGTTTAGCTTTTGTTGTTGCATTTTATATACAGTATACTTTCTTTTCTCTTAGATGGCCAAAAAAACTAACCAATCACGTACCAGCTGCCAGTAAACCCATTATTTCATATCTTGTGAAGAAAATACGACGAGTACAAACAAGTTTTTTTTTTTAATTCAGCTTCACCATTTAAAAAGTTGATTGCATTCCAAAAGATTAAAATATGAAAAAAAAAAAATCAAACAACCAATAAAAAGTTATAAAAAGGATGAGATTGAGAAACAGTCGACCGCTCCTTCAATACAAAATACATAATCATAATAAACAAGTGCAAGTATAGTGATTTTCACCCATTGTTCACATAAAGTACTGAAGTAATGCTTTCTTGGTCATTTAAATTCCCAGTTTCCAGTGCGTACGTACATCAACTCAATGTGTTTAATACATCAAAATGGCTCCCTTTACCAAACAAGTATAAAACAGATTACAGCATGGGTCTCAAAGTCAATTCCTGGAGGGCCGCAGCTCTACACAGTTTTGCTCCAACCCTAATCAACCACAGCTGATCCAACTAATCAAGGTGTTCAGGAGTAGTCTTGAACAGCTTGATTAGTTGGATCAGGTGTGTCTGATTAGGGTAGGAACAAAACTGTGCAGAGCTGCGGCCCTCCAGGAATTGACTTTGAGACCTATGGCTTAACGTATGTTCACAACGAAAGCGGCGAGAGCAACAAAGTAGCCGGAAGTCATTCATTTTCAATAAATGCCAGTTACGAGGAACAGCGCGGCGCGTCTTCGCCGTTGTGGGCGTCGAGGAGAGTTGAAATCAGGTCGACTTTATGGTAATGAGCTATGACGTGGTTCAGCGGCAAGCAATCAGAATGAACTTCAGAGAACACAGTCCTGTGAACTGTGATTTCGACAACAGTTGTTCCCAAGTGTTTGATTATTGCGGTCGCCGGATTTTCAATCATTTACGATGTTTTCTTACAGGAACATACATTAAATAAGTTACTGGCGAGTTACTGATGTGCATTAATGTTTTATATCTTTAAATAAGCGGGAATCTCATGCGACAGTACAAAACAGGGTTGCAGCTTCACGATATTTTAGACTTATGGAGACATTGGATAATCAAGTGGAGCAAAGCCACATCGATCTTCCATTGTTAAATGAATTTGATAATAAGTGCGCAACATTTTCATGCTAGAAAGCATGTTTTATGCAAAAATATAACTGATATGCTGCAACCGCCTCTTCAAATACGAAATCAATGTAACGAATTTTGACGCTCTCGCTGCCGGAGCTGAAGGCAGACACAGCGACCTTGGACGCTCTCACCGCTTTCGGTGTGAACGCACAATTACAGTATCACAGTATCAACCTCCACACAATTCATCAGTCATAGAAGGACAATCCAATAAAATGAGGCCACATATTAACAGAATGGATGGATTCACAAGCCCATTGATACCATAGTGGAAAAAAAAACCTCAACAGGAGTCAAAAACAAAGAAAGTAACAGACAAAAAACTGTATATGAAACACGTTTCAGGCAGATCAGCTCAAAATTGCACGTAACCCTACGGTACGATGTTCAAAGGCAGATGAGAGGTAAAGTTTCTTTGTTCGATTCTATCAGCGCGACTTTAAAATAATGCCAAACAAGTGAATATGGTGAAGCTAAAGGGCTCAGAAGGACTGATAAGCATGTTTAAGTGCTGCCGCAGGGCTGATTGTGTCTGTAGTTCATGATGTAAACAGCGGTTTGGTGCCACCAGTAGAACATGACCACCACCAGCACGTGCCACAGCTGATGACTGGCACCAACATAGTTCAGCTGCCCTGGGAGAAAACAAAAACGGATGTTATTATTTGCTCTGACAATGTTTCAGTTTGATTCTTTACTAATCTGGTCACAATGTGTTTGACTGTAATAAGAGGACTTCTTTAGGCCGCATTCACATCGCAGCAAAGTAACCGAAGCTGATACACAGTCTAGTTCACGAGTGTTAAGCCGGTTGGTAAAGTAGTCAAGGCACACATATGGTACTCGCTCTAGAAATCTTAATAAAAGGCACATTAAAAGAGATTGAGATTGATATTAGAATCAGTTTTATTTGTATTGTGCAAAGTATATTTGAAAGGTTTTTGTGCATGTTATATATATACATAGCGCTTATATATATTCATAGTGCTTCACTTTTTCCACAATTTTTTATTTTACAACTTTATTCCAAAATTGATTAAATTCATTTATTTCCTCAACATTCTACACACAATAGTCCATAATGACAATGTGAAAAAAATATTTTTTGAAATTGTTGCAAATTTATTAAAAATAAAAAACCTGAAAAATCACGTGCACAAGTATTCACAGCCTTTGTCGTGAAGCTCTAAATTGAGCTCAGGTACATTCTGTTTCCACTGATCATTCTTGAGATGTTTCAGCAGCCTAATTGCAGTTCACCTGTGGTAAATTTAGTTGATTGGACAAGATTTGAAAAGGCATACACCTGTTTATATAAGGTCCCAGGGTTGACAGTGAATGTCAAAGCACAAACCAAGCATGAAGACAAAGACCTTGGAGTCTGTAGACTTCCAAGACAGGATTTTATTTTTTTTTACGGGAGACAGAACAATACGGGAGAAGAGCGGGATATGGGTCTGAAATAAGGAGACTCCCGGGAGCGTTGGCAGGTATGGTTTGGAACCACTATCAGGGGAGAAGGGCCTTAGTCAGAGAGGTGATTAATAAACCGATGATAACTCTGTCTGAGCTCCAGTGTCCTTCTGTGGAGAGAGGAGAACCAGAAGGACAACCATCTGTGCAGCAATCCACCAATCAGGCCTGTATATTAGAGTGGCCAGATGGAAGACACTCCCTGTTTGGAAATTACCAAAAGGCATCTGAAGGACTCTCAGACCATAAGAAACAAAATTCTCTGGTCTGATGAGACTAAAATTAAACTCTTTGGAGTAAATGCCAGGCGTTACGTTTAAAGAAAATCAGTCACCGCTCATCACCAGGCTTATCCCTACAGTGAAGCATGGTGGTTGCAGCATCATGCTGTGGGGATGTTTTTCAGCAGCAGGAACTGGAAGACGAGTCAGGATTGAGGGAAAGATAAATACAGCAATGTACAGAGACATCCTGAAGGAAAACCTGCTTCAGAGCCCTCTTGACTTCAGACTGGGTTGACCTTTTCCAGCAGGACAATGACACAAAGCACACTGCCAAAATATCAATAGAGTGGCCTCACAACAACTCGGTGAATGTCCATGAATGGCCCAGCCAGAGTCCAGACCTAAATTCTATTGAACATCTCTGAGAGATCTGAAAATGGCTGTGCACCGTCGCTTCCCATCCAATCTGATAGAGCTTGAGAGTTACTGCAAAGAGGAATAGGCAAAAATCCCCAAAGACAGGTGTGCCAAGCTTGTGGCATCATAATCAAAAAGACTTGAGGCTGTAATTGCTCAATACTTTGTTGATGAACCTTTGGCAGCAAAGACTGTGAATACTTCTGTACATGTGATTTTTCAGGTTTTTCATTTTTTATAAATTTGCAAAAAAAAAAAAAAAACTGTTTTCACATTGTCATCATGGGGTATTGTGTAGAATTTAGAGGAAACAAATGAACTTGATCCATTTTGGAATAAGGCTGTAACATAAAAAATGTGTAAAAAGTGAAGCGCTATGAATACTTTCCAGATGCAATGTAGTCTAGTTCACTAGTGTTAAACTGATCGGTAAAGTAACCAAGGTGCGCACATAGTCTAGTTCACTAGTATTATTCTGTTTTTCAGTAAAGTAGACAAGTCCCAAACATAGTCTAGTTCACTAGCCGGTTTCGGTGTTAGGAAAGTGTTAAGCTGGTTGTTAAAGTAGCCAAAGTGCGCATAGGCATGGGACGATAATCGTTTTCAAGGTATACCCTGGTTTGGAAAAGTGAAAGTTTAGGTCCTAGGGTATGTGTAAAAAATTGTTATTTACATTTTTTTTAGGACAACAGTATCTCCAGCAAAAAAAAAAAAAAAATATCCAAATGATGCCATTTTAAATAGTAAAGAAATCTTTGTTTTTAAAACTAATGAAGACAGCAGAAGTCAATGATTCATTTGAAATATCCAATGTGCACACATAGTCTAGTTCAGTAGTGTTAGGCAGGTCAGTACAGTAGCCAATGTGCACGTTTAGTCTAGTTCACTAGTGTTAAGCCATTCACTCAAATGTAGCCCTGGCATACTCTTATTTCACACGGCTGTCATTTTAAAGAACCAAAGCGAGGCTGCGGTGGAAAGAAACCCGGAAGTAAAGGACCAGCACTGTAAACATTGCAGTAACATGCTGTGGACTACAAACCTCCAGCTGTTGCAGAGATTTCAAAATGCAGAAATGGTGTAAACATCACTTTAGTATTATTCAGTAAGTTTATTTTAAACAATTAAAAGCAATTTAGCATTAAACAACATCACAATCTCTGTGATGCGCTTAAGTGTTCTCCTAGGCTTCAGTTCAAGGCACCAGTTAAACACCGTGAGGACGCTTTCCTGCTTCAGCCCAAGTAACCTGGTAAATAATAAAACACTGCAGTTCTCTGCAGCACACCCTTGTGTTGTCTGTTAATAGTGTTGTCCCTGTACTGAAGTTTTAAACCCGGCTATTACCCGCTAACATGGAAGTGCTGCTGAGCCCGGATGACTCGACTGATCTTCACGGCTTCTTCACGCTTCAGTCTCTGTGTATCGATGTTTGGTTTGCACTCAGTTTACTGCTGTTCACCCAGTGCAAACACAGATACACAGAGACAGGAGTGCGAAGCAGCCTTGAAGATTAGTCGAGTCATCAAGCAGATCGCTCGTCTGTTTGTGTTTTGTGTTTGTGCTCGGTAAACAGCGGAGGGTGAACTGATGACCTTCTCGGCCAATCACAATCATTTCTGTTGAACACAATGGCAAATCAGTGCTGTTTTAGGAAAACCATCAACAGCACCTTAAATGTTAGAAGGGAAATTCATGTTTTTTCTTTTAATTTAGCATCGTGACAAGAATCAGTTTATTAACTCGAGTGTGATAAATAGCATCTAAAACTTACTAGTGCTAGCTAACTAGTGCTATTTCCCTTAACTTAGCTGAAAACGAGCTGTGATATCCCTTTTTATATTTACCATTCAATCAGGACGGACCTTCGGGTCACCAGGAAGGCGGTGAAATGATACATTTATGTCACTTTCTCTTCGCTGATAAGATATATAGCCAGTTACACAACATTCCTATGTAACTCCCAATGATACTTCTAGGTTTCTTCCCACCGCAGCCTCGATTTCTGTTTTGAAAATGGCGGCCGCGTAAAATCAGTCTATACATAGTCTGGTTAACTAGTGTTAAACTGGTCAGCAAAGTAGCCCAGGTGCACATAGACAGTAAAGCATGTGGTCCCAAAGCCCATGGTGGAAAAAAATGAATTCCTAAGCTTTAGAATCTGCTTTTTTAAGGGGTGTTCATTTATTTATTTTTTCTATTTCAGTCAACTTGTATAGATAAATGCATGTTTGTTGATGGAACTTTGTTTATATAAAGAATCAAGTTTCATTTATTTGTTTTGTTTTAATGTTCGCCTTCCTTTTTTCTATGGGGCAGCAGCTGTCAGTCTGTCTGTCAATCTCCACTGTCCTGTCAATAAAGGTGAAAACCCCTAAAAAATAATTATTAAAAAATATATATTATATAGGAATGTAATCTAGAAAACAAATTACCTGGGAAGTATCTTTCTGGGATTTTACTGACGTAAAAAAGGAACGCAGAGGCTGCAATCAAATACATGATCATGACTCGAGGAAAAAAGACCTGCAAAGACAGAAAGTGCTTCACCAATCAAGTGATTCAAACATTTATCATCATATCAGCAGCGTAGTCTTATCTGGTACAAGTGATGCATAGATAACACAAGCTAACAGGTCACCTTTACGATTTCTGAGGAAAATCCCCCATTGATCCAGACCCAGTGGCAGGCTGGGATGATGCCGTATGCAGCCACTAAGCAGAACATGAGTGAGCGCAGCTTCTTCCACTGCTGGCTGAGGTAGAGCGGGTGAATCTGAGCCGCAAACACAGCCAAGATGAGAGCCAGCACCGTCAGCAGGTACACCTGCCTCCAAAACTGAAGCAAACAGCAAGTGTTACCAATAATATAACAATGTTCAAAGTTTAAATCTACATTTGCAAATTTAATCATAATTACACCATACTTTTCAATGTTTTGCGCATGCAATGTGATAATATCATGGCATATGCTTTAAATAAAAATAATAAGTATTTATGTCAATAGAACTAAATGCAATACGTTTAAGATCGTATCCGTTTCCGCATAGAATCAATTTCATAACTGGATCTTCCAGTACAAATGTCAAATTTCTCTCTGCTGACATGCAGATCCTTATAAAACATTTGTTATACTAATATTCTGTTTCCGCTATTTCAAATTGGAATAACTATAATAATGTATTATTAATGTAAAACAAAACTTAAATAAATAGTATACAAATATAAATATAGTTCTTGTTTAAAAAGATGTGTATCATACACTGTTGCAGTAGAAGGCGTAGAAGACTCCAGGCACATAACATCCCAAAATTCCCACTGATATTCCAGCATAATCCAGAGCAAGCCAGCGGCGACATGTCTTCTCTGAGCGATGACAACAGAACAAGTGGTAGCCCACAGAGCACAGCATGCAAACCTGCACAAAAATACATAAATAATGCTTAGGATTAATTATTGTGCATGATAAGGGATCATCTAGAAAGGCATGTCTTGACATTGGCCCTTAGCCCTTTAGCCCTTCCCCTTGTTTTGCATGTTCCTGTAAAGGGGTAGGTGTGTCCCACATCTCTTTAGCTTGAAGGTGTAATGTTAGCGCTAAGTGGAAGGGCTAGACACCCCTTGAAACAGATTTTTCAGGATCACACTCGAAACCACGGGGAAGGAAAGATTTCCAGAATACACCCTCTACAATGGCAGCATGGCTGCACACGGAAATAAGGAGATGCCCAAAAAAAGTATTTTTTGTCATTATCACAAATTTTTACAAAAAACAAGCATATGTTTTGATACATTCATAACAACAAACGTGTTTTACTGTCATGCTTAAAAAAACGCTAAAATAAAAAAAAAAAACACTAAATTTCACTATCTATAATTCCTGAAAATAACTCCAGTATAGTAGTCCCACAACATTCTGTTATTCAATGACACTCGAATCCACTGTAAGAAAGGTCAAATGGCTGGGAATGAACTTTTTACAGTGTCTGCTATAATGTTAATGTTGTTTTCGTGTGTTTACATAGATTAACATGGTCACTGTGTAAATGCACAGTACAGTCTTTGCCTTCGGTGATTTCCTGAAGATATACCAAATAAAATAGCGCATCTGAAATAACTACAGCAGTCGCCATCGTTGATCTCATATGAAGAAAGACCTTGCGATGACGTGATGACGTGCAGGTGCTGTAGTGCTGTCCCACTTCTTAGAGGTAAATTTTGAATCTCTTCCCCTTCACACTTTGTTTCAAGGGCCAAGGAGAAGACGTACAAAACAGAATTGGGACTGGGCCGTTATTTTATATGCATTGTGTTTCTCTGAACTAAAAGACTTTAGTCTTTTTTTGTGATAACATCTAAAATTACAAAAATTGAACAAAAACTACATCTGCCAATTACAAACATTCTACATTCCTTATGACACAACTTTGTGAAAAGACACATTCAGATGCAGCCTTGTGATTGGACAGTGCTGTCAGAAAAGGCTTCCGATTGATCATCCCTGGTGTAGGGCTGAACGATTCTGGCTAAAATGAGAATCACAATTTTTTTTTTTTGCTTAAAATCAAGATCTCGATTCTGTAGATGTAAAATGAAGGTAAGGAGTAGGCTATTATTGTTTTTCTTAATGGTAAAACAACAATAACAATAATATTATGCCTGTCTAGGTCTACTGTTGGTTAAAATGTTACATTTTGTATAGACTTGGAATGGTGGACTTAAACAGACTTTAAATATGTACTGATTTTTAATTCACAGTAATTCAAGTGATGACATCAGAATACAACTATTCGTAATTCAAAAGTTGAATTATTATGGTTGAACATATAATTGTCATTTGTCATTGACAACATTATTTGACCATTTATTCACTGGTAAAATTAGACATTTGTCATCATCAGATTCCCTCTTGGATTATATTCAATGTTATATAGGCTAGAGTAGTTATACTGACATTATTAAACATTCATTTAATGCATAACACTTTGAGTTCCCTATGGATGAAAAAAAAAAAAAACGAATCAAATGCTCGTAATCATTACTCTAAAACGCAATATGATCATTTAAGTGATGTGCTCGCCGGTTTCACTTTCACTGTCGAGTGCGCTGATGTCATGGATAAAACCTACATGCAAATCATACTTTCCGTGCGGCTCCCAAACTGAATATTATTTACAACTTTATTACCTGTTATTCACAGTTTATGCAGGTTCTGTTTAATAAAGTAGACATTCACAGGCACGTGCGCATCCTCTCAGTAGTAAACATACATGGCTTTATTTTGACGGTCCATGCGCAGAGCGCAAAACGCAGGGCGCAAACGATTTCAGGGCATGTCAGGACGCGTTTTTGCTAATTTAAGGACGGGAAATCTAAAAGGGTTGAGTTTATTTTCTTAATGAGTTATAGGTGTGTTTTGAGAATAAACCAATTAGAGTCTCATCTCCCATTCCCTTTAAGACCCAGCTGCGTCGCGCCAAGAGCGCATTCGCTATTTACAGGACATAAAGTAAGTCTAAGTGGAAAAAATGAGCATTTCACAAGCAAACAGTTAACAGTTAACAGTTTTTTTACAGAAAACTGTTAAACAGAGCATCTACTGCGTGAGAATGAGAGATAAATGATCTACTTTCACTTTCGCTCTTGGATAGGGAAACCTTTACGTACAGACATCAATTAGTCTATAAATAAATACTTTTGTTTGTTAAGCGCAAAGATTTGTTTCAAAACTATTTCTAAATTCAGTTCTAATTTCCAGCAAACGAATAAATGAACAATGATGACCAAGTGTGGTGAAAATACTGAGTTATTTCCAAATACACCTGCCATGCCCCATATGGTCTAAAACCTGACAGGTGGGCAAATCTATGCCTGTTTTTAATAAAACAAATATAAATATGGATATATTAAAAAATACTGCTAATAATAATAACATTATACAAAAGCAAATTGTTATGAATGAACAGAAAAAGCCTCCCGAGATGAAGAAGACATAAAAGCAGTGGTTTTTCATATTTATGTAGGCTAGAAAATAATATGTTTTGTAATATTTTAATCATTTATATTTATATTCTATATCTATTCTTATTATATCCTATATATATCCTTAGTATTTACATTTTTTCATATGTAAAGATATTTGCCTATTGCTCTCTTGTGCATATTAAGCAGTGCGTAAGCGAGGCTCAACTCTGCGCCGGAGTTTAAACCGGGTTAGTTTTGGTCTAATGAAAAATCTATTATAGTTTCTCAAAACAGCAACGCGCCAGCAGTGCGCCTCAGAACGCCTTCCTTTTTAGACCAGAACACCTATGGGCAAAAAATAGCACTAATGCATTTGCTATTTAAACAGCGTAGCGCAACACCTCAAAACGACTCTTGCGGCAAGCTGAAACTACCAAAAGACTACTGCGCCATGCCTTGTGCCACACTGCGCCGGGTGTATAATAGGGCCCACAGTGTGTTAGCTCATGTGTCACTTTGCGGCTGCAACTACATCATTACATTAAGATAGAAATTACATGATGGGGTGAATTACACCTTATGAATACAGTATGTGACACTTATAACACCATTTGGAAGTGTCCATGTTGCTGAGCAATGTATATAAAACAATATGAAGACTTGTGCGACTGCCTGTAGGCTTCTCTTCTGACCTTGAATATGTAATTGGCTGAATCGTTGAAAAGCTGAATTAGGATCGTGCGTAGGGTCGAATCGAAATGTCAATCTTTTTTGGTTTAATCGTGCAGTCCTATACTGTAGTCCACAGTAAGAATTATGTCTTAAATATTAATATCGAACCAGTTATACATAAGAATACATAAAGTGTAAACCAATCATCCTTTTGTATTGTTGATCTGTACCCAAGTATTCATATACACTCATTAGTAACATATAGAGTTATATTAATGAATATGAAGTAGATTTGGGGGTGACGTGGTGGCGCAGTAAGTAGTGCTGTCGCCTCACAGCAAGAAGGTCCCTGGTTCGAGCCTCGGCTGGGTCAGTTGGCGTTTCTTTGTGAAGTTTGCTTGTTCTCCCCGCTTTCGCATGGGTTTCCTGCAGGTGCTTCGGTTTCCCCACACAGGATTAATAAAGGGACTAAGCCAACAAGAAAATGAATGAATGAATTTTCTGTAGAATTTAGTAAAGATTTTCACTTGCAAAAACCAGTTTGATGAGTTTGAAATTGGTTGTCAGATGATGGTGACAACAGGGCAAATGCTGATTAGGTTAGTTCATAATGCTGGTACAGTCTTTTAGCAATAAAAAACAGTTCAGCAAGCGGTGGTCAGTGGACTTTCACATCTTGGCTCCCCAAAAGACAAACGGTTCATTCAAACGAGTCATTCGGTTAATCTCGATAAACTAACCCTTTCATTTTGCATAATTTTTACCCAAAAAGTTAAGACTGCAGCTTTAAAGGTCCCATGAAGTGTTTAAAATGAATTTTTTATTCAATGTTTGACGTAATTTCAACTAAAACATGAAGACAGCATGGGACATCGAGTAGCTCCTTCCCTTTAAAAAGACAGCCAATAGCACTGTTTTGATCACAGCTCTGCTAGTGTGAGTGCTTGAGCTCAAGCGCAGCAAATAAGAAACTTCTTAAAGGGGCGGGTCATGTCAGATACTGTAGAGCATTTGATTGGTCAGAAGATTTGATGAGAAATTGAAGTGTGAGGTAATGACAAAAAAAAAAAAACAGTTGTATGGATGTTTGTATCTTCTAAATGTGAATTTTGTGACTGTTTTGAGGCACACCAGTTTATAAATATCCTTATGACTAGCATACTGATACTAACATCTTTATTTTCAATTCCAGAGATCTTTATGTAAAATCTCCTACTTCACCTGAAAACAGAAGAGTCCTATTGAGTAGATGACGTAGTCCTCTCGTGACGCCCCTGCAGATGGCAGGACTGTGGCCATGTCATTCACTCCCAGAGAGAAGAACAGCAGGAAGCCCAACAGATGACTCCAGATGTTCACCGTCTCGTTGGACAGAATGAATATGCTGCACAATATGAGAAATGTGAGGTAAATGAGTGGCAGAATATACAGTGAATAGACCAAACCATATTGATTTAATAACTACTATTGATTTTCTATATAATGATTAAGTCAGATTCAGATGCACATAATTGTGCTGCATTCAGGTTTAATTAACATAATTCAACGTATTTAAAGTTTGTGATTCATTTATTTATTTTATTTTCTTATATTAAGTTTTAATTGCACAGAACTTTTCACAATAATTAGTAGTTTGTAAATAATTTGTAAAAAAATTTTGTTCACTATAAGTTTTTTTCTTTTTTTTAACACCTTCAACAAGTCAACGACATGGGTTTTTCATGGGTGTCACAGACAAAGGAGACAATTATTTAAAATTTAAATAATGCACCCTTCATTTAAAAATTATTTCACTTTAATATGTGAGCATATTTACTGAACAAAACATGTCCATGAACTATGAGGGCAAAAAATACTAATAAAATAATCATTAATTAATCGTAAATGAGTTAATATGTTCAATAATTTATAGAGATTTTGATTTCAGGCCAAATTGCCCAGCCCTAATTCACAGTATTTTGAAGTGCCTATCATATTGATATTGTTAATGTTTATTAACAGGATATTTTGAATTATCGAATATCAACCAATAACTACTTGCATAATAATAATAATTATCCATACACTTTATGAAAAAGTAAGGTAAGTAAAGCACCTTTTAAGGCACAGTTTTGATGGCAGGTGTGCTCTGTATCCATCTGTGATGTACGGATTCTCCTTCAGAAACATGGGAATCTGTTCATAGGTGTACAAGCGGATTCCTCTCGGCACAAGCACTGGCCAGTACTGATAGCTGCCCAGCTCAATGTAATGAGTGCTTTTCAGGATGTTTTGAGGCATCTTGGTTCAAGTGGCTGGAGTAAAAAAAGAAAACATTTAATTAAAAAGAAGGAAAAAGAGATTTCATCCAATAATTTTATTTCTGCAATTCTTAATTTTGTCTTCTGTCAAACACATAACAAAATATTGTCAAGAATGTTGGTATAACTAAACAGTCAATGGCCTCCGCCAATGACTACTATAGCTATTGTGAGAATAAATTGGGCCCGAAAACTGTTTGGTTTCCAAAAATCTTAGCAGAAGAAAGTAACTAATGCAAGTTAAGAACAACTAGAGGACGAGTAAATATATTTTAAACTATAGTAAGATCATTTTTATACATTTTTGAGTGAACTGTAATATATAACGTTACGTAAAACTAGATGTAAATATGTTATAGTGATGTCTCAAAATACTGTAAACAACTTTGATGGAGGAAAACAAACATGTCAAGCAAAAGTGCTAAAAGTACAGCACAATGTTAATATAAAAAGAGCCTATTTTGACTCATATTTAGCATATCTTAAATTATAATGTTAAATTAACACAAAGGTTTTACTATTCCCTAAAACCTAATATATCATAAACCCAAATAAAAAGCAAAACATTTCCATTTAATTCTGTAAATCCGACATCAAACGTGTATAACGTTAAATGTTTTGATTGCTTCGCTGCCGTGAGCTGCTGCAGGCTAGGAACTGCGCTTCAGTGAGGATTAAATTAGGGTTTTAAACCTATTAGATCTCTCTGTAGTTTCAGCAAACCTCTCACCTCCAGGTAAACACTTGCTGTTTATCCCATTCGGTCCTTTATATTCCTTATCTTCTGTTTAATAATAGCATATGGTCGTCATGTTGATGACCCGGCGACTAGCCGTCAAGCTAAAGGCTAAAGTGAGAGTGTGACATTAAAATCCTGCGACAAACACACAGTGCGACGAAATATCACTCTCGCTTTACAAAAAGCAGGGGGATTTATTTATGGAAAAAGCTTTCATATGCGAATAAATCAAACAATTATTCATGTAACTTGTTTTTGTTGAATTGATACATACGCTGTACAAACGTCTGAAAATTATATAGCAAATACACAAAATGCTAAACAGATTAGGTTTTGCCCAAATCCGTAGGTATAAATAAAATAGTTACAGTAACATATTTCCTTTTGAGTATCCTACAATGTACGTGGTTTCTACCCTTTGAAGTCTGATAAACAAAAAGGAAATAAAAAAAATAGATCATAATTGAAAAAAGAAACTGAACTTTTTATGCAGTCTTATTTCCACCCCACAAATACTTTAAAATTTTGTTTATGTATGTACACTGTATTTATGTACATTGTGTTATATACAACTCCTTCATGTTGTCCCAACGCAAATCAAACGTTAGCATAATCATTTTTACAAATTGAAGTGGGTTGTACTTAAAACAATTAAGTTGTCCACAAAAATGTTAAGAATTGTGTTCAACTCATTTCAAATAAGTAGTTTGAACAAGCAACAACAGTCTTCTTTTGGTGTGTGCATGTATATGTATGTATTTCTATTCATTTTGGTGTGTCTGCTTCCCAATCCGCCTTTTACTTTTCAGCAGTTTAATCACCCACAATATAAGAGATTAGGATTAACATTTATAATATCCAGACACTCTAATATGCCATAATCAAACATTAACAGTCTGCTGATTGTGCATCACATTAATCCCTGATTATCTAAATAATTTATCTGATGCTGAGCAGATTTTTGCTTTCACTGTCAACAGTCTATATAAATCACACAAATCAGGAATCAAATCAAGAATTCATAAAAGGTTCACAAATTAACCACTTTACATGTTTTTTTTAATGCTAATATACAGGTCACATGTTTATTTGAATACATTTAACCAAAACATACTACATAACAAAACACTCACAAGTGCAGTGATTTATTTTTGATGCATTTTTTTATTTTACAAAATTAACAGAAAATATCACAGATTAAAAGAAATTGTCATAAATAAACCAACAAAAATTAAATAAAAAAATCTACAAATAAACTGGACAATTAACATCTTTTTTTATAATAGGAATAAACGAAATGAAGGACATTAAAATAATTAACATTTTCCTTCCTCTTTAAACTCACTCATATCACATTCACAAGAAGGCACTGTATTGTTTAATAGTTAGAAAACCTTAAAAAAGGAACTGTAACAAAAGCTGCGAAGTCAAACATATTTAAAGGCAAAAAATCACAAGGATATATACGGTTGAATGCTGAATGATTAGCCCCCTGTTCATTTTTCCCCAATTTCTGTTTAACAGAGAGATTTTCTGAACACATTTGTAAACATAATAGTTTTAATAACTCATTTCTAATAACTGATTTATTTTATATTTGCCATGATGACAGCAAATAATAGTTTACTAGATATTTTCAAGACACTTCTATACAGCTACTAGGCAGGTTAGGGTAATTAAGCAAGTCATTAGCCCCTTTCACACAGTGATACCGGAAAATATCCGGAAAATTTACGGAACGACTTTACCGGTATGTTCAAAAAAGCGCTGTTCACACAGGCAAGGACGTTACGGAAATTTTCCGGAAAAGAGCATTCACACATCCATTCCAAAATACCGGTAAATTCTGACATCATTCACCACAAATGAGCTTTAAACGGCTGCGCTTGTATTTGTAAACATTTGACTAAATTACAAACTCTTTTGATGATCAATATTGTAAACAACTTTCACTGGATCATATTCGCATGTCGAGATGTTCATAATATGTGCGTGTGCTGACGCTCACAGGCTGTTTCATGGGCACACGCAAAGCTTGAAGGTAAACAAACAACGGCTTATAATAAGCATCTTATCGATGATTATTTGCACAGTTGGCATTAAGAAGAACATATAAACGTTATCTGACTAACTTCTAGCAGCTAAATGTGTCTGGAAAAATATTCAAAGGCTTTTATTCTCACAAACCGCGCGGACGTAAATGCGTCTGACTGTTGTGATTGGCTAAAGCAGAAGTCTTACGTCAGCACGTTCTAGACGTGCACGAGCTTATTCCGGAAATCTTCCTTCTGCGTTCACACAGCGCAGCATTCCGGCAAATTGCCGGTAATGTTACAACTTCTCTTTCCGGAAAATAGCCAGAACGAATTTACCGGTATTTTCAAAAAGGACCTGTTCACACATACAACCTTTCCGGAAAATTGCCGGTAATTTTCCGGAAAGGTCTGTATGTGTGAAAGGGGCTATTGTATAATTATGGTTTGGATTGGAGACTATCGAAAAAATATATAGCTTAAAGGTGCAAATAATTTTGACCTTCAAATGGTTTATAAAAAATTAAAAACAGCTTTTATTCTAGCCGAAATAAAGCAAATAATACTTTCTCCAGAAGAAAAAATATTATCAGACATACTGTGAAAATTTCTTTGCTTTGTTAAACATCATTTGGGAAATATTTATAAAAGAAAAAAAAATGTCAAAGGGGGGCTAATAATTCTGACTTCAACTGTATATAGCAACAAACTCCAAAACAAAAATAATTCAGATGTACAGCATAGCACAGTGTATCCCAACAGATTCCCCAAACCTAGTCTGAACATGCCATAAAAATGCCATTTGTGAACCCTCTGTATATATATATCTATATATTACAAGTACAAACTAACAAAATGTCTAGGCTTTCCTGATAGTATCTGATCCAAGCTCACTGTATGTGGTCAGTGCCTTTGCACTCGCGTGAATTTGATGCATCTCCCCTGAAAGACAAAAAAAAAGAAAAGAAGCATGATGTTATTGTACATTACAGATCCATAATGGGGAACTGACTATCCTTTAACCCCCTCTTACAAACACTCATCTCCACAATCCTTTTAGCCCATTATCTCTCATAAATGTGAAATATGACAAATCAGATCTCTTAATGTCTCTGCCTCATGTTACAAGCTATGCCCTCATTTTGAGACTGGTGAAAGACCGTTCTTCCACCATCCACTGACTAGTCCATATCACATTAACTCAGTACTGATGCTAAATCACCCATGCTGGAGTTTTTTTAATGCACCTCATATGGTAAAAAATAATTGTTTTGACAATATTTTGGTCGTGCTGACATGTACGATAATTTGGAATAATTGAGCTCAATGAAGAGGAGATCTGATTTTAATTGGTGGTAAAGAAGCGGCAGTGATGGAGGTCAGACAGGTTGATCAAGCAACACTAATGCTTGACAAGCGCTGTTTGGACAGATCTGGTACCATGAGAGCGGAACAGGTACCAGTATTTAAAATTAAAGACTGATTTACAACATGTTTAATGCGAAATAAACATATCCAACAAGACTGTGTACAAAAAGATTGTAGAAATGCTCCCAGTACTGGGTTGCAGCTGTGTAGAACATGTGCTGGAATAGTTGATGGTTCATTCCGCTGTGGCAATCCCTGATAAACAAAGGGAATTAGCCGAATGAAACTGAGTGAATGATTATAGAAATTAAGCATAAAAACATTGCTTTTACAGGTGAAAGTACAGTCTATTTCATACACATGAACGCCGAAAAGATTCATCCTTGTCCTGTGTCTGAGATTCTTCATTCGACAGAGTCTCATTAGAAATACGTGCCTCAGCCTGCATCTTTAACAAATGTAAAAAACATTTTTATAAATCTGAAAAAATGTTACTTACAGAATGATTTGCTATAAATTTCAGATACATGCCCTTCTTTTATATGTCCATTAGAAGGCGGAGCTTGTCATATCGATCACCTAGCCCAGGGGTCACCAATCCTGGTGCTGGAGGGCCGGTGTCCCTGCAGGGTTTAGCTCTATCTTGCCTCAACACACCTACCTGAATGTTTCAAGTATACCTAGTAAGACCTTGATTAGCTTGTTCAGGTGTGTTTGATCAGTGTTGGAGCTAAAATCTGCAGGACACCGGCCCTTCAGGAACAAGTTTGGTGACCACTGACCTAGCCCAACCAATAATGTTTTCAAAAGCAACCATTTTTTCACTTGCTTTCATCTCTTTTGTAGAAGCATGCATCACCAGACTTGAACTTATAAAAATCAATTTACAGAGGAAACTGATCATATTAGAAAATAGTCCATGTGAAGATAAGTAGGTGAGGCAGTAGTAGGTGTACAGTTGAAATCGAAATTATTAGCCCCCTCTTAGAATTTTCCGAATAATGTTTAACAGAGCTAGGACATTTTCACAGTATGTCTGATAATATTTTTTATTTGTTTTATTTTGGCTAGAATAAAAAAGCAGTTTCAAGGTCAAAATTATTACTCCCTTTAAGCTATATTTTTTCGATAGTTTACAGAACAAACCATCATTATACAATAACTTGGCTAATTACCCTAACCTGCCCAGTTAACCTAATTAACCTGGTTAAGCCTTTAAATGTCACTTTAAGCTGTATAGAAGTGTCATGAAAAATATTATTAACTGTCATCATGGCAAAGAAAAAATGAATTAGTTATTAGAGATGAGTTATAAAAACTATTATGTTTCGAAATGTGTTGAAGAAATCTCTCCATTAAACAGAAATTGGGGGGAAAATAAGCATGGGGGATAAATCATAGACACTATCAAGTTGTTTGTGGTTTGCATTTGTTGTTGTACAAAGAATTGCACAAAATAATCCTTTAATTATTGATAATATGTTCCTGTAAATATCATTAGGGTAAAAAAGAACAAAAGTTTCACCCAGAAGGCTTGAATTCTAATGGCAATTAGATTCTAATTAATTGGATTCTAATGGCATTGCTTCCTGGAAAAATACATTCCTCTGTAAAAGTCTTGGTGTTATTTTTGACTCTGGGCTTAAATTTGATCAGCAAATTAAAGCAGTTGTCAAAAATATTCTTTTCTATTATAGACATATTGCCAGGCTGAAGTCTGTCCTCTCTTTCAGTGACTTGGAGAAGGTTGTTCATGCTTTCATCTCTTCTCATCTGGATTATTGTAATGCATTGTATCTAGGTGTGAGCCAGGCCTCTCTCTCATGACTGCAGCTGGTCTAGAACACAGCTGCCAGGCTCTTAACAGGCACAAAAGAAACAAGAGCACATTACACCAGTACTGGTTTCTCTACACTGGTTGCCAATCCAGTTTTGAATTCAGTACAAAGTACTGTTGTATATTTTTAAATCCCTCCATGGCCTGGCCCCTGAGTATATTTCTGAGCTAATTAATATACACAAACCTGTGAGATCTGTTCGCTCTTAGGATCGTCTCTATTTGACAGTTCCACGATCACGCTTAACATGTCGAGGTGATAGAGCTTTTTCAGTGACAGCTCCAAGACAACAATATTCCTCTTTCCTTGAGAACAGCTCCAATTTTTGAGTCTTTTCAGAGGTCACTAAAAACAAACTTATTTTCTAGCTTTTAATCATGTGTTTTGAGTTTATGTATTTTGGTTTTGTGTATGTTTTGCTTGTTTTTTTATGTACAGCACTTTGGTACCCATTGTGGTTTGTTGACTGCATTCACTGCAGTCAAACGCATGTTGAAGTTTTTTTGCAGTATCAATAAAAAAACTCCTATATACCCCATTATATACATACATGTATACATATATATATACATATATATATATATATATATATATATATATATATATATATATATATATATATATATATATATATGTATGTGTGTGTGTGTGTGTGTGTGTGTGTGTGTGTGTGTGTATATATATATATATATATATATATATATATATATATATATATATATATATATATATATATATATATATATTAGGGATGCAACGGTATTGTAAATACCGTCATACAGCAATAGCAATTTTTTTCAATATTACCGTAGTCGCATGACTCGATAAAACTATAGGTCTTTTGAGAAAATTTGCTGAGGCGAATGAAGCGAATGGGAGGTAGCAAAAACTACAATTCCCATCAGCCTAGGCGTGGTCATCATCCTTTGCGGTCTGTTGTCGCTACAGATCCAGTAATGCGGAAATGGAGTGTGCTGCTAGTAGCGGGGATAAAAAAGAGAGCTGGAAATTATCGAACCTAAAGCGGGTTTTAAATCGGATGTGTGGAAGCATTTCAGTTTCTCTCTAAAATGATACGAGAAAGGAGAAAAGGTGACAGACAAAATAAAAAAAAAAAACGGTATGCAGGCACTGCCAGACTGTGGTGAAATACAAGTTGGAGAATACGACTAATAACAGTCATGGGGACTGCAGAAACACAGCACACTGTTCAGATTGATGCAGACATTGACTTGTACCGCAAAGAGACCTCTATCTCACTCATGGCTTGTCCTCTCAAGTGGGGGAAAGACATTGCACAACGTTACCCACTACTGTCAACCTGGGCCAAGTCATATCTCTGTCCCAGAAACCTCAGTCCCAAATGAGAGGGTGTTTTTTCTGTTGCAGGGGACATTGTAAAAGCCCAGAGATACCAGCTTTTACCAGATTATATTTATATGATAATTTTCCTTAAAACCCATCTCTATCTAAGTGAGTGAGTGAGTGATTAAACGTTAAATGTAATGAGTTTTCAACAATACTAAATTTAAACTTTATTTTTTTACATGGTTTAATAATTTTTTGTTATTAAAATTGAAAAATTGAAGTTCAAAGCTCCTGTTTCAAAGCTTACAGATAGATGGCTAATTTGTATGTCATTAGCCCCTTTCACACAGTGATAAATATCCGGAAAATTTCCGGAACGACTTTACCGGTATATTCAAAAAAGCGCTGTTCACACAGGCGAGGACGTTACGGAAATTTTTCGGAAAAGAGCATTCACACATTCATTCCAAAATACCGGTAAATTCTGACATCATTCACCACAAATGAGCTTTAAACGGCTGCGCTTGTATTTGTAAACACTTGACTAAATTACAGACTCTGTGGATGATCAATATTGTGGACAAATTTCACAGGATCACTTTCGCATGTCGAGATGTTCATAATATGTGCGTATGCAGGCGCTCATAGGCGCACGCAAAGCTTGAAGGTAAACAAACATAGGCTTATCATAAGCATCTCATCGATGATTATTTACACAGTTGGCATTAAGGAGAACATATAAACGTGATCCGACTAACTTCTAGCAGCTAAATGTGTCTGGAAAAATATTCAAAGGCTTTTATCCTCACAAACCGCGCGGACGTAAATGCGTCTGACTGTTGTGATAGGCTAAAGCAGACGTCTCACGTCAGCACGTTCTAGACGTGCACGCGCTTATTACGGGATTCTTCCTTCTGCATTCACACAGCGCAGCATTCCGGCAAATTGCCGGTAATGTTACAACTTCTCTTTCCGGAAAATAGCCAGAACGAATTTACCGGTATTTTCAAAAAGGACCTCTTCACACATACAACCTTTCCGGAAAATTGCCGGCAATTTTCCGGAAAGGTCTGTATGTGTGAAAGGGGCTGTAGACACTTTTGGCACTTTTTTGGAGTATTTTCATTAGTTTTGTTTTTCCTGTAAAAGATTCAATAAATACCGTACCATGCCATTCATACCGAGGTATTACCGTACTGTGAAATTCTGATACCGTTACATCCCTAACATATATATATATATATTTATTTATATATATTTATTTATTTATATATATTTATTTATTTATTTATATATATATATATTCATTTATTTATTTATATATTTAGATATTTATTTATATATATATATATATATATATATATATATATATATATATATATATATATATATATATATATGACAAAGTTCTTAAATTCAAACATGCTT